TGTAATCGACTGTCATACTAAGAACACAGATCGGTGTTATTGGGATACGTCTCAAATAACTGAAATTTTACATACCGGGTACTTGCAAATTTTATTTTAAGAAGCAGCCGGCCTGAATTCTTAAGCGTTTGCCATATTGAAAATGGAGCAAGTCTTGTTAATTTGAGCTATTATTGTATTTCTCTTTTCAAGAAAGAGTCAAATTTTAAGTCACTGATACATAGGGAACAGGTCAGGGTAGCTGAGCGGCCTAATGGATGTACTGTCTTTCCTTGCTTGCAAGCTGGGATCGTGGGTTCAAATCATACACAAGGCATGGATGTTTGGTATGTGTATATCCCGTGTTTGCGTCGTCCTGTGTTTAGATAGAGCCTGATCACTGGTCCAAGGAGTCCTACCGTCTGTAAAATGATCAAAATGAAGAAACAACATCGACAGCGTAAAGGTATAAGAGGAACGGATTAAGTAAGTAAGTTACAAGGCGTTTCAAATGTTTTAATATCTTCAGTAACGTACTCCACTCCGTTAAGATATCAAATAGGTTGTCTGGGCATTGACAATTTAAGAGATTTATTTATTATGCAACGCAATATATCGTAGAAAAAATAAAATATAATGTTATAATGTTGACATGTAACAGGGCCATATTTCTCGTGCATTTACGAATACAGCGGGTAGGTCTAATAACAGTTTAATTACAAGGAAAATTTTAAACTAAAATCCTTTTATTTCATTAGCATTCTTAATGGATGTGCAGCTTACGAAATAAAGAACAATAGAAGTACTGATGATGGCCAAATAATGCTCAAAACATGTTGTGCTACGAAAGAAAATCCGTGCACGGTGTCAAGTGATGACTTTGTGATTGATTTAAAAAAACGAACATTACAAAAACGTCACTGGAGTGTCGCGTACAGTAGACAGTCAACGACAATAAAATCACCAGCAGTACTTTCTCGATTATCAGCCAACGCCAAAAAAAGTAATCAATTCGCAGTAGTGAACCACCACAAAACTTCCATCAACATAAAAACAAGAAACAACAACCAAACAACATCAAAACATCATCGCATCGGAACTGAACTCTGAACGAGACGCGCGGCGAAGAACTCAGCAGGAAGAAGCACGACGCTCCAACCACAACACGCGTGCGCAACCAAGGGGAATACACATATAGATGGGGTACCCAAAAGAAACTGAACTAATTTTTTTGTGGGCAGAGCTTTTGTAGTACCGCGTTTTGCCGCTATGAGCGCATAGAGCTAACATTCCTGAGCCGATAAGCCGACTACCGTTGCTTCAGAAGGTAAGGACTAGTTTCGGCAGAGTTTATAGTGATAACTGTTTTATGTGATCGTCGTTTTTGCAATGGCTGATTTTCGTGAACAGCGTGCGGCGGTGAAATTCTGCTTTTTGCTCGGGAAAAGTGGAACAGAAACTCTTGAAATGTTAAAAACGGCGTACAAGGACGATGCTATGGGGAAAACTCAAGTGTTTGAGTGGTTTTCCCGTTTCAAAAATGGTGAAATGTCAATTGATGACAAACCTCGTTCTGGTCGTCCTTCCACGGCCCGAACACATGAAAATGTTGAAAAAATTCGTGAAATCATCAAGGAAGATCGACGACGGACCATTGAAGAAATTGTGGAGCTGTCGGGAGCTCAGCGGCCAGATTTGTGGCAGTCGGGTGACTGGTTTTTCCATCATGACAATGCCCCTGCTCACACAGCCCTGTCTGTATGACAATTCTTGACCAAAAATGGTATGACCTCTGTTTGTCACCCTCCATACTCATCCGACCTTGCCCCGTGCACCTTTTTTTGTTTCCTCGAATGAAAAGAAACATGAAAGGAAAAAACGACGGAGGCGCTGTCAAGCATCTCAAAAGATGAATTTAGACAATGTTTTGAAAAATGGAATAAAAGACTAGACAAGTGTATTAGTGTAAGTGGAGAGTACTTTGAAGGGGATTGAAGGTTTGTGCTTAAAATTTGAATAAATAAGTTAAAAAAACATAAGTTCGGTTTCTTTTGGGTACCCCCTCGTAGTGGCAGCAACAACAGAAACAGCAGTTTCCCAATTACGTAGATATAATTTTAACACCTGATTATGGCCATATTGACCGAAATATGTTGTGACCAATAAATCTTAAATTTTAAATTTAGAACTTTTACGTTAATAAACATTTGCACATAAGACTGTAAAATGAGATTTATAACTAAAAAAGATTTTTATCGTTGAAAAATTCTTACACGAGGATGCAAATGCAATGAAGCCGTAAGCAACAGAAAATGTAACAGTTTGTGATTATCGATACCTTCGCTACTAAGTAGCTGAAGTTCTATTATTGGCGTCCTTACCATGGATATGTGCTCAACGAAGCACGCAGATGGATCTGGATATATCGCGAGTGAAATGCGTTAATAAATATGAGCTTCTCAAAAATGCAAACCCTTTTGGTCCATCGCTTACGGTTTATGAGTTATGACCATTTGTTTATAACAAATACGGCTAATTAAACTCCACTGTTTAGGGATGACGTAATACTACAGGTAAGCTTGCAGCGTATGACGTCACGCCCTGATAAGCTGTCCGCTGGTAATTACACGAGGGTGCAAATGGAATGAAGCATGACTTTAATGTCAAATTCAAAGATAATTACAATGCCGAACTTGCATAGTTCAGGAAAGATACCTTCGAACTTGACGTTCTTTCGGACCTTTCTCAAGGATTGACTAGATCTAATTCTTACATCGATATGGTCTTTGGGCGAAAGGTGGACAATTTTACCTGCATGAACTAAGGTTCGTACTTTGGCTATCACAAACTTATCTTGAGCACAACCAATCAGCAAGCTCCTCAACTCACAGACGTGACTACACACTAAACGCACTGTACATCTATTAATGTTTCAATAAGGCTTCAATTGTAATGCACAAAGCAGATTTATTCCAACACAAATACCAATTTCAATATGTTTTCAACGTTAATCCTGCGAACCAAGGTTCCCCAATTATTTTTGCATCCTTGGATCCTTGCAGCCGTAGTCCTTATATAACATTCTCTGACGAGAGGATTTGTTTGTCTCTTATGAACATGCTTGGCCTTTGTCAAGTATACGTATCGCATATAAAATTTATAGTATAAAACAAGAATAAAAATTCTTCGAGTGATGCTTTACATCATCTAGCAAGTCGTTGGTTTTTGTGATTTTGTTGTGTTCCCACGGACGTTATAGAATACTCCAATTTGTCCGTGGGAACACAAGAAAATCACAAAAACCAACGACTGACTCCATGATGTAAAGCATCACTCGAAGAATCTTTATTCTTGTTTTATATAATCTAATTTATTATATTTTTACGGCAAGTATTTTAATATAATTAATATTATTGTATCCAATTTTACTAGTACTGCAGTTCAGTGGTGTATATATGTTAGCCTTGTATCTGCCTGATGATGGCTTTTAATAGCCGAAACACGTAGCAGAGCGAAACTTGGCACTGACCTTAATATAGTTGTGTTGTGACGGTTTTAATAAAGAAATTGTAAATACAAAACAACAGGTCCGACTGAGTGGCCGCGTCTTAACGGTGAACATTCGATCTCTACTTCCAAGTAAACTCACGGAATGACCGTTAGAAAGATGTCGTTGAAATATGTAAGAGAAAAACCACTCTTCTTTCTGAGAATGAAACGAAACACATACTGTGGCCGACGTTCCAACTCCATGAATATTAAAATATTAAGATGAACAGAGAATGAAGCTTATCGACAGTTTAATCGGGGGCAGCGAAACTATAAGTAAGAGTTTTCTGAATTAACCAATGGGAACAGTGCACACTTTTCCCCCGCCACACGAGAGATTTTTTTTTAATTCGCTTAGAGTGGGTGGAGTTCAACTGGGTCCACTCGGCACGGCGGCAACTGATTGGCCTGTTGTAGCCTGCTCCGGGTGATTATGATGATGGAGAATTTGATGGAATGAAGATTGGCAGGGGAAACCGAAGCACTCGGAGAAAACCCGCCACTTTATCCACCACAAATCTCACTTGACCAGACCCCGAGATCGAACCCGGGCCGCCGAGGTGGGAAGCCAGCGACTGACCGCTTCAGCTATGGCGCGGCCTACACACAACAGATTAATCCCATCAGGACGAAAGGACTTGGGTTCATGACGGATACATTAACTGACGTTTCTGCACATACATCATTGTCATGATGACGTCGTACCGCTCAACTCTCTTATACAACATGGGAGCCTCATACTAGGACGTCCACTCTCGGGAGAACAGACTTAACCCATTTTCGCCCGAACGTCTTATGGGGAACTTAGCACTGCCGGTAACACAGCGAATGCTTCGTTCATCGTTCAACGACGTTTAAGTACCGATACCGAAAACTAGAGTACAAACTACTTGTGAGAAAACGTACCAACCAACATTTTCTTTAGTATAACCTGGAGGGATAGCGCAGTCGGTATAGTGACTGCCTACGGGCTGGACGACCGAGGGGTCGGAGTTCGAGTCTCGGTAGGGTCAGAATTGTCTCTTCTCCATATTGTCCAGACCGGCTCTGGGGCCCACCCAACATCCTAGCCAATGAGCACTGGGGGCTCTTCCCCGGGGGTAAAGCGGCCGGTCAGAGAAGCTGACACTCACCTCCAGTTAGTGCCGAGGTCAAGAAAATGTGGCTCTATACATTCACTCGCCAATAAGCCTTCATGGTGTACTGTTTAATTAGTTAAGAACAAGGTCAACTTTACCTTTACCTTTAGAACCTGCATAATTATCACGATTTCCTGTCCTTAATAATTGTTTGGTTACAAAACCGACGTTACGTGTGGAAGTTCTACAAGTTCCGACAACGAAGTTTCTTCTGCTTTAAGTCACGCAATCCTGATTTGGAGACATGGCTTGTGTCTTCAGGTTTTAACTACAGGTCCTTCAATAAATGATGCTGTAGGACTTATGCGACAGATTACGTCACCAAGCGCTCACCTGTGAATAGGCTAGTTGCGGGTCATCAGGACTAGCGGAACGGCGATCCTGAAGTGTCATGAGAGCCTGTGTCAGGGGCAGCAGAGTTCCAGAGACCCGACCGTCGTAGCTGCCCTGCAACAATCAACATGACAACAGGCGTCTGGAAGTGAGGCTTCATTTAAGTGCAAGCCACACCCCCTCGTCACCCAGCTGTGTTATTTGCACACCCGCGTTAGTGGCCATTTTAGATCTAAGTTTCCTACAAGACTATGTTAGTAGCAAGATGAACTTAATATACTGAAAATATTGTTTTAATTATTTCAATTGTTGTCATTAAAAAGTAATTAAAATGGTGCCCTTTCAAATATTTTTATCCGGATACCAAAATTTGTATTTTAACAGGAAAGCAACAAATATCTTAGTGGTAAAAATATGTTTTGATTGGACGAAATATGATTAAAAATAATAAAAATAACAGAACTTTTGCGCATTTCACATGGAGGAAAAGATGAAAAAATAAAGAGAATAATAAGTGAAACGTGCAAAAAGAACTGTACGTTACAGTATTCCCAAAATGACTGTCAGATAAAAGAAAAGGTAATATCCATTTCTGTTGATGTGAACTGCCTACAACATCTTAAAATCTTAGGTCTACATATATTATTGATACTTTGCCCGTTTTGTTTCTTAATACTGCAGTTTAGAGGTTAATGTTACAACTAAGTAAAAGAAGTAAAGCTATCCCTGTAACAGGCCGTGAAGGCCCATAGGGGTGTGAGACGTTGAGGGTCCCACACTATCTAGACAATCGGCTCAAAGATGGCGGTAAGGTTGCCAGCCTTACGCGCCGGCCGCGGTTTACTCCCCAGGAAAAGTATTTAGTTAATTCCTGGTACTCATTTCTGTTAGAGGCTGAGTCCACCCCAGGGCCATAGTACGGCTGGAAGGATTAAAACTGTAATAAATATGTTTGTACCTATAATGTCAAAGGTTAAAGTTATTGCTTTGTATCGGAAAATAGAAATATTCCCAGTGAAAAAAAAAATATAGCGGGAAATAATAAATGTCTGTTATGGAGCGTAGCTTTATTGCTGGAAAATAAGGAAAGCCAGCATCGCGCATTCAGGTAGGACTACTGTTCCGTACATATATAATAATCGGCAGAGCTCCAGCGCATTCGACCCTTATTCACAAGGGATAATGTTGTGCGTTACAAAACACAAAAACTAATTCTTCTCTGAGTTGCAGACAATATTTCAAAAGAAAGAAAATTATATTTCAGAATTCGCATACAACAATCCATTTTCTTTCTATGGCAGCTTTAATGTTCACAAGATAAAAAAACAGCCATGCAGCTTTATTGACGACATTCTGACCGTTACATTTTAGTAATATATCAAAACTAAAATTCGATCAAGTGTAACAATTTTTGATGATTACATAAAATCTTTTGTTGTCATATATATTTCATCCTTAAGATCCAATCTTCAGGAGCCTAATCAACAGTACAAAACGGAACAAGTTACCTAAGCCTTTGTCGCAATAGTATTTACCCTACAGACTTACCGAAGCGACTGATGTGTTAGTATTAGTAATGGTTAGTATCAAAGCTGAGTAGCCAAATTATTGAAATAGTTAGGCTATGCTGTCCAAAGTGAGATGCAATAACAGCATTCGTAGTAAGATTTGAGGTTTTCACGGCGGTGACTATGAAGAACGCGGTCTTCTTGGATGTGGCGCCGTGTAGATATTGTGTTAACCGGCGTTTTGGAGGAACGTATCGCCTCCATCTTCAGGGTAGAAGAAAAGAAGAAATCCGCGAGCGAACACTCTGTTGCATCCGCTCACGCTGGTTCGCTCGCTGATTTCTTCTTTTCTTCTACCCTAAAGATGGAGGCTAAACGTTCCCCGAAACGTCGGTTAACACAATATCTACATGGCGCCACATCCCAGAAGACTGCTTTCTTCATCAGCATTCGTAGTAGTTTACAGTAGCTGACAAAAGATAAAAGACCTACAACCATTAAACTTAATAAATTCCATGCTGTCACCAACTGTAAATTTCTGCGAATGCTGTAATGATATACCGACTGAGCCGCCGGTTACACCACCGTCCTTAAATACTCGTGCTAAGAATGCAGCGAAGTAGATTTTCCTTCATCCGCATCGCAAGGACGGTCGTTCAGAAGTGTTCCTGACCTTCACGTAATTCCGCCACGATTCATTAAAGAGAACAGCAGAGGACAACCTACTCTCCATCCGTCTTCTTCCCCCTCCATCCTCAACATTTTGCAAACCGCCACGTTTCTTCCCTCGATACCTTCTGAGTTTCCTCCATTTGGAGTCCTAACCTCCCCTTCACTCATACCCTTTAATTTGAATAAAACACGAAGTGAAACGCGTTCCCTCTACTTCCCCAGAGATCAATCCCTTTCTCTTCCCCACTGGGCCGTCAGCCAAGTCCACCTCGTCGACGCCTACATTGCGTTTCCTTGAACTATATGCTTGCTAGGGATACAGATCCGTGGGCTCGAACACCACCTAGCGACGACGCTCGGAAGTATTGCCGCATTACGAAACAGTATATTACCTGAGGTAAAAACATCAACTACGATGATGAGCTGCATTCGAAGGAAACGGGATCATGCTGCACATTTTTTCTTTTATCGAGACTATATGTTCTTAAATGAAAAAATACAATAAGCAGATATACTTTTTTAAGCGGCCTCCGTAGTCTAGAGGTAACGTTCCCACCTCATGACTCGTAGTACGCGGGTTCAAATACCCGGCGGAGGTCGTCGAATTTTTAAGGGCGGAAAAATTCAGGGAACAAGTCCTCCGGGAGGGACTTTAAGCCGTGGTCCCGTGTCGTAGCTTTACGGCACGTAAAAGAACCTCATATCTCCGAAGGAGGTCACTGAGCCAAATTAACGGACGTTTCCCGCCAAACAGCAGTCTCTAATACCTCTGGTAGGTGGGGGAAGCATTATAGATACCTCTCAGCTAGTAGAGCCGGTCTCGCTGGCTGGGCGGGACTGATGGTAAGCACCAATACCGCTAGGATATAGAGACTGGTAGAAATCATAGAGGGAAGCACAATGGACCAATACAGGACTAAGTGCATGGGGAAACCCACCCTCTCCAATAACTAACTAACTAACTATACTTTTTTATGTTGTGCATGCTTTTATGTATATGAATATTCGAAGTTTGTACCGTCACGTAAAAAACGGGTTTTCTGACTACTATATTATGAAACGATTGAACTCAAGTGAAAACAATGTCAACCAGTCAACGAATACAAAATAGCACACTACGACCACTATGTAGGATACTGTGATATTATATATACACGTATATACATTTTAATAATTCTATAATATTGCATAGATATTCGTACGTTCGTTCAAAAATACGCGCACAATTTTTTAATGTATGAAGCTGAAAAAATGGATCCATTTTAATAAGATTGTCACGTGTATGGAGTTAGGGTGGCGAATAACAATGGGTTCTGGATTTAATAGTTGAGTTTATTGGCACTTCTTTACAATTACAGTTATTAATAACCGCTCATACATTGAACTCCTGAACAACATCTGTCTGATGAATCTCTCACTGATTTCGGACTGATCTCCAATGCAGCTTAATTCACTGCCTTTTATCACTGCCTTTTATCACTGCCACGAGGCCGGGATAGAAGTGACCATGTCGAACAGTTCTTCTGTCCTTCTGTGTTGTCATGGGAATGCCTTTGTTACTGTTCGTTGTCGCGGGGACATGCGCCAGCTAACCGTTGCCTAGCAAAATCACTTCAGCTTCTGCTATTATTCCGGGTGTCAGGTAGTGTTTACCTAGCCGTTACTTAGCAAGTGGTCATATTCTTTCACAATATAATTCAGCACAGAAACGTAATAAATTTATTGCTTTTATTCATACACACCTGATGATGGTCAGAAGAGACCGAAACACGTAGTGCGATTTCTATATTTGAACTGAGTGACATTGTTTTTACTTGACTTAAATCGTTTTATGACACAACAGTTAAGAAGATATACATTTAACCCTAAGATGTACGTTAACAAGTTGACAACAAGCGAAGAATTAAATCTATAACGTTAGAACTACTAAAAATGAGGAACAATGTATTCTAAGTAAACATATAAATATATATATATACGTGTAAGTATGTAAGTAAGTACGTAAATAAGAGGCAGTCCTTCAACAGCTGATAATTATTCGGATTTAATAGCGTCTCTGTTTATACGAAACACGAAATCTTTTCACCACCACAATAAAAGTTAGAAAGAAATGCTAATGAAAAGCTGTCGACTATTGCTGAGATCGAGAAATCCACAAACACAATGTCCCAGTGATGGATCGGCCCCCGTCAATAGCTACAGCTTATATAGGAAGCTGGTACTTCACTAGAGGCACAAGTCAAAGGGAAATACAATCACTTGCATGAAGACTGAGGGCCATCAGGTTTAACCAACGGTGCCAGATCGTCTTTTCGAGCCACTTACCATTAATTATCAGGAATATTGTACTGTATACGACTACACTTGCCACTGTCAATAACGCACAGCCCTTTCCTCAATATCTCTGCTGAGAAATGTCGCGGTGTTGGAAATGAAATGTAGCTTAAACGAAGCCTACCTGAGAAAACCCATAAGCTTGAAAAAAAAAAAAGCATTCCTAACTAAAGCACATTTATTTTTATTCTTCCTACACCCTGTGATTAGGCTTACTGTTTCTGCAGAGAGAGGGAGATAGAGCCATTCCAACACTTGCGAGGTCTTCCTGAGTTTCTTCCGCGTTCTGGGGAGTTATGTCTGAAGACTCGAACAATTTTGTCTTGTCATTCTTGTAATGTGATTCTTCCATCCTTCCCTACGTCTATTCAATCACGCTCCTATTGGTTGAATTTCACGATGTTCCCTAACAATCCAGTTTCTTACATGAACCACCCTTCTTTTTCCGAAAAATTTCTTCGATGTGTTTATTTCTGTAGTCTCTAATATTTGCTTGGAAATGACTTCTCTGGCTTATGCTCCGTAGGCTAGGATTGGTCGTATAACTGATTTATAGGTTCTTGAAGGTAGTTTAGTTTCTGTTCTTAGATATTTATTTCG